CAGACCCTGCGAGGCCGGGAGAGGCGGTTCCTCCATCCCTGGCGCTGGCTGGGCTCCTGGGTGCGGCAGGTTTGGGGTGCTGGCACAGGGACACCAGCCGGGGGCTCGGGCAGGGGGGCGGCAGCCATCCGGGCAGGGACTGCACCATGACACTTGGTGCCATTGGGTCACACCTACCCAGTGCCACCAGGGCTGATGTCGGGTGTTTGTCCCTTCAGGTGAGCAGCTCCAGGAAGGTAAGTGCCGGCGTCCCCTCTGAGCCCCACACCACCCGTCTCACCCCTGTCACAACAGGGCCAAGTTTGGCACGCCCTGCCTTCTCCTCAGCACCCATGGGTGCCCAGCACCTAGAGGAGATGGCCCTTTCTCAGAGGGTTTCCTCATTCATGGAGACCCAAGCTACCAGGGATGGGAGTTGAGCCAGTGGGTCAGCAATGCTGCCAGTGTCCCCCGGGGCACTGGTGGCCCTGAATCATGGATGGGTCCCCAGGCGGTGGCCGGGGCAGCGAGCACGGCAGCGTTCTTCCTCTGCGAGGGGCTGCTGGGCCAGCATTTCGATGTGGTCCCCAATGGGGTGGCCGAGCCCCGGCCCGGCGACCTCTTCCTCTTCCCGCTGGCCTCCGGGGGCCCCGGCTGGTGGGGCGCTCACGCCGGCATCTACTGCGGTGACGGGGAGATCATCCACCTGGAAGGTGAGCCCCAGGAGGTGGTCATGGCATAGGGACATCCTCATGGAAGGGACAAGGAGTACAATGTCCCCTCCACCCCGCAGGCAGCTTGGGGACGTCCCCATCGGGGATTGTAGCCAAGCACGGCAAGAGCCACCTCCTGCGGACGCGGGGTCCAGCCAAGGTGCTGCGGATGATGGGAGGGCTGGATGCGGCCGCCCTGCAGCAGCGCATCCAGGCAGCCATGGACCAAGTGGTGGAGTATGACGCCATCACCTGCAACTGCGTCCACTTCGCCCTTGCCCTGCTGGGCCTGGGCCAGCTCGCTGGCGCCACAGTGGGTGCCACCACCACGGTGGGTGCCACCACCCCAGGGGACCCTGATGCCCGCCCCAGCCAAGCGTCAGCACAGCCCATCTTCTCTCCCAGGTGTCCCCAGAGCTGCAGTGATGGAGGCGACCTGGGGATGAGTGGGGCTGGAGCATCCTTCCCCGGGGGACGGGGATTGCGCCGGTGGCTTTGGCATCCCTCTTGCATGGCAATAAACAATAGCACAGAGACCTTCTGTGAACGCTGCTTGATTTGTGTTGTTTTCACTTTTGCTTTCTTTTTCCCAGAAGCTCCTTTCCCCGAAGCCACCAGTCAGTGATGTTCCACACCCAGTGCAGCCACCCCCTTCTGCCTCCCTCCAAGGCAGCGGTTGCTCTTTGCACCCTGTGGTCTCCTGGGACAAACAGATGCCTCTTTTCCTTGCCAGTGTTTGATTTTGAACATCAAAACAAATATTTGCTGGGGTGAAAACTGGCCAAATGGCCGGACCCGGTCTGGTTGGAGGACGGTCACCAGTGGTGTACCCCAGGGGTCAATACTGGGTCCAGGCTGGGGTTGGAGGAAGGTCTCTTGGAGGTGGGTGGGAGGTCACTGCATGACACGCACTTTTGGAGATGTCCTGCAGTTCCTCTGACTCAAGAGCATTTCCGGGTCTCCGGCATTGCCTCTGTCCATTCCCGAAGTTGACATTTAAGGCGGAATTAGCAAATTGAGCCCAGCTTTAAGAAGCAGAAAAACCCATCTGGAGGTTTCCTGGACTTTTTACTGCTTTTGTGTTTTGCTTTCAGCCTTTCTCCACCTCTGATGCGCACCAGGAGAAAGCACAGATTCACAGAATGGTCAGGGTTGGAAGGGACCTCTGGAGATCATCTAGTCTAACCTCCAAAGAGGTCATGTTCGGCCCCGGTGCCTGCCGACCTTCCCATCCTTGATGCAGTTCCCACAGGCCTTGGTGGAGGTGCCAGCAGCCTGGCTCTGTCACCAGCTCCGACCCATGGGCATCACTGCTAATTAGCAGCAGTAGCCCGGTAAGGATGCTCCCATCTCCTGGGCAACATCTTCATTACTGGTGCCGTTGATGGGGCAGAGCGTGCCCTCAGTGAGTTTGCTGCTGACACTGAACTGGGAAGGGAGGCTGATGCTTCCGAGGATCATGCTGGCACTCAGAGGGACCTGGATAGGCTGGAGAAATGGGCCAACAGGAACCTCATGAATTTCAACAAGGGGAAGATGCAAAGTCCTGTCCCTGGGGAGGAACAAGCCCAGGCAACAGAACATGCTGGAGGGTGACCAGCTGGAAAGCAGCTTGGCAGAAAAGGCCCTGAGGGTCCTGGTGGGCACCAAGTTGACCATGAGCTAGCAATGTGCTCTTGGGGCACAGTGAAGGCCAACAGCATCCTGGGCTGCGTTAGGAGGAACATTGCCAGCAGGTGGAGGGGGGTGATTCTTGACCTCTGCTCAGCACTGGTGAGGCCACCCCTGGAGCACTGGGTCCTGTGCTGGTCTCCCCAGTACAAGAGAGACACAGACATACTGGAGAGAGACCAGCGAAGGGCCACCAAGGGTCTGGATCATTTCTCACATGAAAAGAAGCTGAGAGAGCTGGGGCTATTCAACCTGGAGAAGGAAAGGCGCAGGGGGATCTTATCAGTGTGTATCAACACCTGATGGGGGGAGTAAGGAAGATGGACCCAAGCTCTGCTCGATGGTGCCCAGCGCCAGGACCAGAGTCAATGGGCATGAATGGAAACACAGGAGGTTCCCTCTGAACATCAGGAAAGACTTTTTTCACTGTGAGGGTGACTGACGGCTTGCACAGGTCACCCAGGGATGTTCTGGACACTCCATCCTTGGAGGTATTCAAAAGTCACCTGGACATGGTCCTGGGCAAGGAGCTCTAGGTTGAGGTTGGACCAGAGGACCTCCAGAGGTGCCTCCAACCTCAATTGTTCTGTGATCCTGTGAAAATATTCCTCCACTGAGATTATTTAGAGATGCTTCGAGTCTCTCTCCAGGCTTCCTTACAGGGACTCTTGCAGTTCCCACACTCATGGGAGAGTTTCTGGCAGGTTTCGCTCCCACCAGGGAGGAAGTTTGATTCCCCAGTGAGGGGAAACCGTTCCCACAGCTTCAAAGGGGAAGGCAGCAAAAACAAGAAGCGAGAACCTGAGCGGGCTGGGGCTGGAGGAAGGTCTCTTGGAGGTGGGTGGGAGGTCACTGCATGACACGCACTTTTGGAGACATCCTGCAGCTCCTCTGACTCAAGACCATTTCCAGGACCTCCTGTGTTGCCTCCCTCCATTCCCAAAGTTAATGTTTAAGGTAGAATCAGCAAATTAAATCCAGCTTTGGAAAGTGGGGAAAAAAAAAAAAAAAAACCCACCACATTTGTGGGGATTTCCTAGACAGTTTTGCTTTCAGCCTTTCTCCACCTCTGCTATGCACAGGAAGGATATGCGTCAGAGGTTTCGCCCCAGCGCCTGCCAACCCACCCATCCCCGCTGCATTCCCTTCAGCCCTTGGTGAAGGCCCCAGCAGCCCGGCTCTGTCACCAGCTCGGTCCCAGAGAAAACAATGGGAAGTAGCAACAGTAAGGTAAGGATCCTGGTAAGGATGTTCCCATCTCCACAGCGCATCACGGGCAGCTGCCTGTGCCATGGTTGCACCGGGACGGGGATGGGGGGGGATGATGAATAGAGCTTGGCCCAGGATGTCTCCAGCTTGAAGATCTTGGCAGGACGGGTGACTTTTGCCCGAGCCAAGCACTTGTGCCTGGGAGGACCCATCATGGTCGCAGCGTCCTGCACATGGGCAGGACGGCACCAGCACAACACTGACATCCCATTTCTGTTCCTCTCTTCTTGCGTATGTCGAGCAGTACAGTAAGTAGGAGCTTGGGGAGACCTCTGTTGGCAGTGTGGGGGTGCTGGGGGGCGATGGGGCTGGTTCTGCTGTCTCCTCATATTCTCTCCCCAGAGCAATTGTCGGAGGAAGAAAGAGATGCTCAGCTTTCTGCTGTTCAAGACTCTTCCTGGGTTTAAGGATGTCTTCAGCAAAGTGTCAGAGAGCACAATCCAGACCGGGGACATCTTGTTGTTCCCCATAGAAACCTGCTCTAGCGGATCGATCTGGAGCTTCAAACATGCGGCCGTCTACTGCAACGAAGGAGAGGTCATACACCTCCAGAGTAAGTGCTCAAGCCCTGCTCCATTTTGGGATATGGCAATAGCCAAAATGCAGCAGGGTGATGGGCGGCTCTTTCTTTTCTAGAAATAAGATCTAGTGGGAACAGAACTTGGATCATCAAGGAAGGCTATAAAGCCATGAAAAAGGACAGGGGGAAATGCGAGATTTATCGGAAAAAAGATGGGATCGACCTCAATGACTTCTATAGTAAAGTCAGGGAGGCGATGAACAGTGAAGCCAAGTATGACATCACCAAAAACAACTGCATCCACTTCGCCCTCTTCCTCCTGGGCTTGGTGGACTTCTACATGCAACTGGTAAGCATGGAGCTGGGTCTCACGGCTGTGGTGGGACAGCCCCTGCACCCACAGCCAGCCCTGCTTTTGCCTGCTGACCCCATTCCCCCCGGGGCTGGCCCACGAGCGGTGGGGACAGCGGTGGGGACAGCCAAGCCCCCTGCACATGAACAGCTTTCTCTTGCAGGTGGAAGTTGACAATGAAGGTGGCAGTGATAGGCCTGTGAGTATCCCCAGCGTCAGCCCTCCCCGGCAGGGCTGTGGGGTGGCTGGGAGGACCGTGGTGTCTCAGTGAGGGCCGGGTCCCCAGCAGAATTGGGGTCCCCGGGATGGCTGGGTGCCCAGGAGGGCTCTGGGGTCCCTGGGAGGGCTGAGTTGCTGGTAGGGCTGGGGTCCCCCAAGAGGGAAGGCTTCCCCTGGGACAACTGTGCAGCAGGGTTCCCAGGAGGGCTCTGGAGTCCCATGGAGAGCTGTGGGTTCCCCAAAGAAGACTGGTGTTTTCAGTAGGGTTGGGGCCTCTGGGAGGGCTTCAGGGTCCCCAGGAGGGCCGTGGGGTCCCCAGACACAACTGGGGTCCTGAAGAGGACTGCAGGGTCCCCAAGGAGGTCTGAAAACCAAGCAGGGTTGGGATCCCTGGGAGGGATGGGGTCCCTGAAAGGGATGGGGTTCCCTGGGGGCTGAGTCCTCAGGAAGAATGTGGGGTCCCGAGGAGGGCTGGGTCCCTGGGAAGGCTGGAGTTCCCAAAAGCTGCTGGGGCCCTCAAGAGGGCTGGGGTTTCTGGGAGGGACGTAGGGTCACTGGGAGGCCTTTGGGGTCCCCAAGAGGGCTGGTGTCTCTGGAACAGCTGGAGTCCCTAAACAGGGCTGGGGTCCCTGGGAGCCCTGAGGGGTCCCCAAAGAGGACTGGGGACTCCAAAGGGGGTTGGGGTCCCCGGAAGGCCTGCGGAGTTCCCAGGAGGGCCGGGCTCCAGCTGCCAGCGCTGGTGGGGGACCCATCTGCATACTGAGGAAAAGGATGGGCAGAGGATTGGGGGCATCGTCTTCCCCTTTTCCAGGCCACCTGCAGCCCATCCACCCTGGCATCGCAGAAGAGCAACGGCATGGTGTGAGGGGTGGCGGCCACCATGTCCCCCTGAGGATGATGTCTCTTCAACCCGCAGAGAATCCACAGGGTCGCCCCATGCACCCCAACGCTTCAGCCCAGGGAAAGATCTCTTTTTTTTTTTTTGCGGGGAGAAGCAGTTGCTTTCCACTTGCTGGTGTTTAACTGCAGTGCATTAATTAGATGCTTTATTAAATGTTGCTACCTGAGACGTTCCTGTTTTCAGTCGCTGCCTCACTCCTGCGTGATGGGGTGCGAAAGCTGCCTGCCTGGCCACCAGCTTCTTGGAGCTTGTTAGCTGCGAAGGATAATAATAACCGAAATATCTGCCAATAACAATTCTTACCAGTGAAGAACCGTAATAACAACAACAGTAGCAACAATAATATCTACAATAAGAACAAAGAATAGAATAAAAAAAAAAATGTATCATTTCTATGCATGTCGTATGTCAGACGTTGTACATCATAATGTAATTGTGGTGGATTGACCGTGGGTGGCTGCCGGATGCCCACCCAGCTGCTCTATCCCGCCTCTTCCTCAACCGCACAGGGGGATAAAAGTGCCACGAAAGGCTCACGGGTCAAGATAAGGACAGAGAGATGGCTCAGTAACTACCGTCACGGACAAAACAGAGTCCACACGGAGGGTAATGAGAAATAAGGAGAAATCCTAAATGACCTTCCCCCCACCCTTCCCTTCTCCCCAGGCTCAGCTTCACTCTGATTGCTCCACCTCCTCCCCCTGCGCGGTGCATGGGGATGGGGAATGGAGGTTATGTCAGTTCATCATATTGTCTCTGCTGCTTCTTCCTCCTCACTCTCTTCCCCTGCTCCAGCGTGGGGTCCCACCCATGGGAGACAGTCCTCCACCAACTGCTCCAATGTGGGTCCTTCCCATGGGCTGCAGTTCTTCATGAACTGCTCCAGCACGGTCTTAAACTCACGGGGTCACAGGTCCTACCAGAAGCCAGCTGGGATGGGCTTTTTGGGGGTCTCTCCCAGGATCTTGGGGCTCCCCCATGGGTCCCACCAGCGGGTCCAGAGCAGGGCCATGAAGATGCTGCGAGGGCTGGAGCACCTCTGCTGTGAGGACAGGCTGAGTTGGGGGTGTTCAGCCTGGAGAAGAGAAGGCTCCGGGGAGACCTTACAGCTGCCTTCTGGTATCTGAAGGGCACCTACAAAAAGCTGGAGAGGCACTTTTTACAAGGGCATGTAGTGATAGCAGGAGGGGGAACAGTTTTAAACTGAAAGAGAGGAGATCGAGGTTAAATATTAGGAAGAAATTCTTGACTGTGAGGGTGGTGAGCCCCTGGGGCAGGTTGCCCCGAGAAGCTGTGGCTGCCCCATCCCTGGAGGTGGTCAAGGCCAGGTTGGACGGGGCTTGGAGCAACCTGGGCTGGTGGGAGGTGTCCCTGCCCAGGGCAGGGGGGTGGAACTGGGTGATCTTTAAGGTCCCTTCCAACCTAAACCTTTCTATGATTCTATGTCGTGCAGGACAGCGTCAAATGCTTTTCTCAAGTCCAGGTAGATGATGTCAGTTGCTCTTGCCTTATCCACCAACGCTGTAATGCTGTTGTAGAAGGTCACCAAATTTGTCAGGCATGATTTGCCCTCAGTGAAGCCATGTTGGCTGTCACCAATCACCTCCTTATTTTCCATGTGCCTCGGCAGAGTTTCCAGGAGGATCTGCTTCGTGATCTTGCAGAGAGGTGAGACTGACCAGCTGGTAGTTCCCCTGGTCTTCCTTTTTTTCCTTTTTAAAAAATGGGGGTTATGTTTCACTTCTCCAGTCAGCGGGAACTTCACCAGACTGCCACAACTTCTCGAATATGATGGACAGTGGCTTAGCAACGTCATCTGCCAGTTCCCACAGGACCTGCGGATGAATCTCATGAGGTTCCAGGGACCTGCGCACCTTCTGGTTCCTTACATGGTCTCAAACCTGGTCTTCTCCTACAGTGGGTGGTTCTTCATTCTTCCAGTCATAGAATCATTCTGGTTGGAAGAGACCTTTAAGATCATGTCGTGGTTTGGGTCAAATTGGCCACCGAAACGAACGACAGATGCTCTCCCCCACCTCTTTCTGCAAAGAGAGGAGAGAGAAAGAGAAAGAAACTTATGAGTTTAGAAAAAAACTAAACAAGTGTAATGAAATATTAATAATAAAATAATGAAAAAGAAATTATAAAATATACACAAAACCACATCAGGCTCTCAGGATGACAATCACGTCATTTCCCAGGCCCTGGGAAAGTCCCACACTGGACTCAGCGACAGACAGGAACTGGATTTCGGATCTGGATTCAGGGACGCATGGGTCGGGATCAAAGGCAGATGAACAGAGTCCTCCTCGGACGCGGCCATTGAAGAAACAGCACTGACCCTTTGATCCCTCAGCTTTTATACTGAGCATGATGCAGATGGGATGGAATACCCCGTTGGTCAGGTTTGGGTCACCTGTCCTGTCCGCTCCTCCCCGCAGGCGGGATCTCGTTAGGCTTTTCCGCTTCCGACCCTCCAACGGGACACATAACAAAGTGAGGGTGCTGCCCTTGGGTGCCATAGCAACAAGGTAAGCAGGAGCCTCTCCGCATACCATTCCTTGGCATCAACACGGGACCTTATCACCCTGGGAGCGAACAGCGTCTGCACATTGCACTGCTCATTTCAGAGTTCAGTTCCTTAGAAGAGGCTTAGCTGCAAAGTAAAATTACCGAAAAGAAAATTGGTTCTGTTGTACCTCAAACCAGGACAGGTCATCGAGTCCAACCGTTAACCCAGCACTGCCAAGCCACCACTCAACCGTGTCCCTCAGCACCACGTCTTTTAAGTACCTCCGGGGATGGTCACCATGTCCCAGGGCAGCCTGTTCCAGTGCTTGACCAGTCCCCGTCTTTGCCTCCTGCGACTTGGGCGGTGCGGCTCAAGCACTCGCTGGCGAAGACTGAGGCAAAAAACTCATTGAGCACCTCAGCCTTCTCCATATCCCAGCTGACCAGCTCTCCCGCTTCCTTCCAGAGAGGGCCCACATTTTCCCTGGTCTTCCTTTTGTCACCAACATCCCTATAGAAATTTTCCTTGACACCCCTGGCCAGATTTAACTCTCTCAGGGCTTCAGCTTCCGTCACCTGATCCCTGGCTGCTCAGACAGTATCTCTATTCCTCCCACGCTGCCTGTCCTTGCCTTCACCCTCCGTACGCTTCCTTTTTGAGCTTGAGTTTCTCCAGGAGCGCCTCGTTCACTCACGCAGGCTTCCTGGCGTTTTTGCCCGATTTCTTCTTGGTTGGTACACGTTTCTCCTGAGCTTGGAGGAGGCGATCCTTGAATATTAACCACTTTCCTCGAGCCCCTCCACCCTCCAGGACTTTATCCCACAGGACTCTGCCAAGCAGATCCCTGAGGAGGCCAAAGTCGACTCTCCTGAAGTCCAAGGCAGGGAGTTTGCTGCGTGCCCTTCTTGCCACCATAAGGACCTTGAACTCCACCATCTCACGGCCACCGCAGCCAAGACTGCCCTTGAGCATATGCTATAGAATGTAGAATGTAGAATAACATACAACGTACAATATAGAATAGAATAGGATAGAATAGAATATAATATAGAATATAGAATATAGAATGAAAAATACAGAACACAGAATCATAGAATCGTAGAATGGTCTTGAACACCTCCAGGGATGGGGCCTCAACAACCTCTCTGGGCAACCTGTTAAAGAATACAGAATAGAATATAATTAATATAAGCCGCGACATAATATAATGTAGTATAATGTACCACACCACATAATATATAGCATATAATATATAATATAAACTGTAGAATGAGCTATGGATTATCAATGATGTATAGTACAGTATGATTGAATATAGAATATATTAATGTAGAATAAATCATAGAATTAATATAATTTGTATAGTATGCACCATATAATACATAGTATGTAATATATACTCTATAATGCATTGTGTATGACATAGTAATATTAGATAAGGTAATGTGATATGATATCGTATGGTATGATTTAATATAATGTAGTATAATGTAAATATGTATAATTATATAATTTATTATGATGCATGACAGACGAGCTATATGTAGTAGTAGCAGAGTTTGGGCCGTGATTATGGAGTATATACCATATAGTTCATATATTATAATACTCTATAACCACATCCCAACCCCTGCTCCTACTAACGTCCCCAATTACGCCCGTTTCACCGCTGACCGCCACCCAAACCTGTGCGGGGGGCGTGTGTGTGTGTGTGCAGGGCTGGGGACCCCTTTTGGGGGGTACAACCCCCCCGTCTCCCC